ATGCAGAAAACGATCCAAAAGCACATCTGTTGGAGGAAGAGAGAAGGAGAGAGGAGAGATACCAAGGATTGCATATTTAATGGGAAGAGCAAGGAAGAGAATAGAAGACAGATGAATAGAGAAGAGGGAGAGACAAAACAAGGCGCAGAGAAGATGGCACTCTTCTTTATCTATTCTCTCTCCCTTGTTTCTCCCTTCCGTCTTTCTTTTCGAAATGAGAAAAACAAAAAGGAAGAACTATGAGAAGGAGAAGAGTAAGGAAAGGAACAGAAGAGATAGGCCGAGAGGATGAATATGATGGAGTATTATGGAAAGGCTCACGCGCAAGGAGTCACCCTCTGCTTACCTTTCCACTGCTTTATCATATGAGTTCCTTTCTTGTGTTTTATCAGTTAAAAGGAAGCAGAAGAGAAGGGAAAAGCAAAACTTGAGCCCAACATTTTAGGACCAGGGCTTGCGATCTGACTCTTTGGAGCAAAAATCGATTCCAAAATCTTAGGGACCAGGGCTTGCGATGTTACTCTTTGGAGCAAGAAATGAGCCCAAAATCTTAAAGACCGGGGCTTGCGATTTCACCTTTTGGAGCAAATACTGGGCCCAAAATCTTAGGGACCAGGGCATGCAATTTGACTCCGTGGAGCACAAATCGACCCCGAAATCTTAGGGACCAGGGCTTGCGATTTGACTCTGTGGAGCACAAATCGACCCCGACAACTTAGGGACCAGGGCTTGCGATTTGACTCTTTGGAGCAAAAATCGACCCCAAAATCTAAGGGACCAGGGCTTGCGATTTTACTCTTTGGCGCAAAAACTGGGCCCCAAATCTTAGGGACCAGGGCTTGCGATGTCACTCTTTGGAGCAAAATTGAACCCAAAGTCTTAGGGACCAGGGCTTGCGATTTTACTCTTTGGAGCAAAAACTGGGCCCAAAATCTTAGGGAGCAGGGTTTGCGATTTGACTCTTTGGAGCAAAAACTGGGCCCCAAATCTTAGGGACCAGGGCTTGCGATTTGACTCTTTGGAGCAAAAATTGAACCCAAAATCTTAGGGACCAGGGCTTGCGATTTGACTCTTTGAACCAAAAGCTGGGCCCAAAATCTTAGGGACAACGGCTTGCGATGTCACTCTTTGGAGCAAAAATTGAACCCAAAATCTTAGGGACCAGGGCTTGCGATTTGGCTCTTTGGAGGAAAACTTGAACCCAAAATCTTAGTGACCAGGGCTTGCGATTTGGCTCTTTGGAGGAAAACTTGAACCCACAATCTTAGGGACCAGGGCTTGCGATGGGAACGCTTTGGAGCAAAATATTGAAAACCCAAACTTAGGGACCAGGGCTTGCGATAGCACTCTTCGAGCAAACTGGGCCCAAGTCTTCAAGGACCAGGGCTTGCGATGTCACTCTTTGGAGCAACATTGAATGCAAAATCTTAGGGACCAGGGCCTGCGATTTGACTCTTTGGAGCAAAAATTGAACCCAAAATCTTAGGGACCAGGGCTTGCGATTTGACTCTTTGGAGCAAAAACTGGGCCCAAGATCTTAGGGACCAGGGCTTGCGATGTCACTCTTTGGAGCAAAAAATGAACCCAAAATCTTAGGGACCAGGGCTTGCGATTTGACTCTTTGGAGCAAAAACTGGGCCCCAAATCTTAGGGACCAGGGCTTGCGATGTCACTCTTTGGAGCAAAAACCGAACCCAAAATCTTAAGGACCAGGGCTTGCGATGTCACTCTTTGGAGCAAAAATTGAACCCAAAATCTTAGGGACCAGGACTTGCGATGTCACTCTTTGGAGCAAAAACTGGGCCCCAAATCTTAGGGACCAGGGCTTGCGATTTGACTCTTTGGAGCCAAAACTGGGCCCAAAATCTTAGGGACCAGGGCTTGCGATGTTACTCTTTGGAGCAAAAACTGGGCCCCAAATCTTAGGGACCAGGGCTTGCGATGTCACTCTTTGGAGCAAAAATAAAAACCCAAAATCTTAGGGACCAGGACTTGCGATGTCACTCTTTGGAGCAAAAACTGGGCCCCCAATCTTAGGGACCAGAGCTTGCGATGTCACTCTTTGGAGCAAGAATTGAACCCAAAATCTTAGGGACCAGGGCTTGCGATTTGACTCTTCGGAGCAAAAACTGGGCCCCAAATCTTAGGGACCAGGGCTTGCGATGTTACTCTTTGGAGCAAAGATTGAACCCAAAATCTTAGGGACCAGGGCTTGCGATTTGACCCTTTGGAGCAAAAAGTGGGCCCAAAATCTTAGGGACCATGGCTTGCGATTTGACTCTTTGGAGCAACTGGGCCCAAGATCTTAGGGACCAGGGCTTGCGATGTCACTCTTTTGGGCAAGAAATGAGCCCAAAATCTTAGGGAGCAGGGCTTGCGATGTCACTCTTTGGAGCAAAAACTGTGCCCCAAATCTTAGGGACCAGGGCTTGCGGTTTGACTCTGTGGAGCAAAAATTGAACCCGAAATCTTCGGGACCAGGGCTTGCGATTTGTGTCTTCGGAGCAAGAAATGAGCCCAAAATCTTAAGGACCAGGGCTTGCTTTGGAGCAAAAAACTGAGTCCAAAATCTTAGGGACCAGGGCTTGCGATTTGACTCTTTGGAGCAAAAACTGGGCCCCAAATAATACGGACCAGGGCTTGCGATGTTACTCTTTGGGGCAAGAAATGAGCCCAAAATCTTAGGGACCAGGGCTTGCGATGTTACTCTTTGGGGCAAGAAATGAGCTCAAAATCTTAGGGACCAGGGCTTGCGATGTCACTTTTGGAGCAAAAACTGTGCCCTAGTATTGGGGGGAGGAGGGCTCGTGATTTAGTATTGGGAGGAGGCCCGGGCTCGTAAATTAGTATTGGGGGGAGGCCCGGCTCGTGATTTAGTATTGCGGGAGGCCCGGGCTCGTGATTTAGTATTGGGGGGAGGCCCGGGCTCGTGATTTAGTATTGGGGGGAGGCCCGGCCTCGTAATTTGGAGGCCCGGGCTCGGGATTTAGCCCGGGCTCGTGATTTAGTATTGGGGGGAGGCCCGGGCTCGTGATTTAGTATTGCGGGAAGGCCCGGGCTCGTAATTTAGTATTGGGGGGAGGCCCGGGCTCGTGATTTAGTATTGGGGGGAGGCCCGGGCTCGTGGTTTAGTATTGGGGGGAGGAGGATGCCCCAGCCCCCACCCCCATTTGGAAATAAATGAATTACTTGAATTAATTGAAATAATTGAATTAATTCAATTAATTCAATTAATTGATTTATTTCCAAAGGGGAGGTGGAATTAATTTAATTAATTGAATTAATTCAATTATTTCAATTAATTCAAGTAATTCATTTATTTCCAAATGGGGGGGATTCCCCAGCCCCCACCCCCCCCCCCCTTTGGAAATAAATGAACTAATTGAATTAATTGAATTAATTGAATTAATTCAACTAATTCAATTAATTCATTTATTTCCAAAGGGGAGGTGGAATTAATTGAATTAATTGAATTAATTCAATTATTTCAATTAATTCAATTAATTCAATTAATTCATTTATTTCCAAATGGGGGGGATTCCCCAGCCCCCACCCCGCCCCCCTTTGGAAATAAATGAATTAATTGAATTACTTGAATTAATTGAATTAATTGAATTTCAATTAATTCAATTAATTAATGTATTTCCAAAGGGGAGGTGGAATTAATTGAATTAGTTGAATTAATTCAATTATTTCAATTAATTCAATTAATTCAATTAATTCATTTATTTCCAAAGGGGGGGGAGGGGTGGGGGCTGGGGAATCCCCCCATTTGGAAATAATTGAATTAATTGAATTAATTGAATTAATGGAATTAATTGAATTAATTGAATTAATTCAATTAATTGAATCAATTCAATTAATTCAATTAATTCAATTAATTCAATTAATTCAATTAATTCAATTAATTCAATTAATTCAATTAATTCAATTAATTCAATTAATTCCACCCCCCCCCTTTGGAAATAAATGAATTAATTGAATTAATTGAATTAATTCAATTAATTCAATTAAATCAATTAATTCAATTAATTCATTTATTTCCAAAGGGGGGTGGGGGCTGGGGAATCCCCCCCATTTGGAAATGAATGAACTAATTGAACGAAATTATTTAAATTATCGCGGCTCGATTTGGCCAAATTTTGCCGGGCAGCCTGCGGGCAAAATTTGGCCAAATCGGGCTGCTCTTCGTATGCCATGAGAAATGCGCGGCTCGATTTGGCCAAATTTTGCCCGGAGGCTGCCCGGCAAAATTTGGCCAAATCGAGCCGCGCATTTCTCAGCGCGTACGACGAGCAGCCCGATTTGGCCAAATTTTGCCCGCAGACTTCCCGGCAAAATTTGGCCAAACCGAGCCGCGATAGTTTAAATAATTTCGGGCCTCCAGAAAGGCGCGGCTCGATTTGGCCAGATTTTGCCGGGCAGTCTGCGGGCAAAATTGGCCAAATCGGGCTGCTCGTCGACCGCGATGAGAAATGCGCGGCTCGATTTGGCCAAATTTTGCCGGGCAGCCTCCGGGCAAAATTTGGCCAAATCGAGCCGCGCCTTTCTGAAGGCCCGAAATTTTTAAACTATCGCGGCTCGATTTGGCCAAATTTTGCCGGGCAGCTTCCGGGCAAAATTTGGCCAAATCGGGCTGCCCTTCGTATGCGATGAGCAATGCGTGGCTCGATTTGGCCAAATTTTGCCCGGAGGCTGCCCGGCAAAATTTGGCCAAATCGAGCCGCGATAGTTTAAATAATTTCGGGCCTCCAGAAAGGCGCGGCTCGATTTGGCCAAATTTTGCCGGGCAGCCTCCGGGCAAAATTTGGCCAAATCGAGCTGGGGGGGTGGGGTCTGGGGAATCCCCCCCATTTGGAAATAAATGAATTAATTGAATTAATTGAATTAATTCAATTA